CCGGTATCATGGTTGTTGATTGGTTCCTGGACCAGTGGGCCCCAACACTTCGATCACCACCCCGCGTTAGGATTGCGTTCGATGGATTTTCGGCGTTGCTCAACACCTTTGGTGACAATTGAGTCACGGGGCCAACAGCTAGTAACAACTGTCAGCCCAAAAACATCATTGAAACTCTTTTAGGCCCAATTGGAGTCTGCGAAATCCAAAGCGATTGAGAAGGATGAGCAATCGCACTATGTAACTCGATGAAAAACAGTATTTGGTGTGTGCAAAAATTAGAATGTAGAACGGTCCGTGCAAGGTACAATACTGCCTGAAAGAGCCTAAAAGGGAGAATCACTTGTAAATTCCACTTTTTGGGTTGCCAAAACGGGTAACGCACAAGCCTTACGTTCATTTCATAAGTTACCTACAACAGAAACTCAAAGACATCCAATGTATAAACGTTAATCTATTTTTTATGTGTGATTACGAGGATTCTTCTCTTCCAAACTTCTGCTGTAAATTTCAATAATCTCATGCCGAAGCATAATCTTGCTACCTACGGGTACCGGTACATATGAATGGAACTAAACAAAATGGAAAAGTCCTCACTAGCCACTTCGTTGCCATCGGTGTTTGATCTCCCCGTCCGACAAGCTGAACCTCCATCAGAGCAGTCTGCTGGTGTCATTGTCTCTACTGGCGTTACATGTACCGGGTACTATGCTGTGTCCTGTGTTGTACTGTTCCGCTGGCCGTCCAATGGAGCAATTAATCCGATCAACGGCACACAGCTGTAAAATGTAGGAGCTGAATAAGTATAATCATCACCAAAATTAACCTAGTCTAGTCACAAAAGCAAAAGTCGAAATTGCACAAACCAATACTAACTCGTTGTTGGCTTGATCCCAGCCTGTTCAATATCCTCAGTTCCTCGCTCACCTAAGCGTCCCGTTTCGCCTTCATCATACTGTTCATAGGTTTGACCCATCGCCAGTGATGCTGAATCTTGTTGCTCACCGGGAAGAAGCTGTTGGACCAAGTTGTATGTGTTCTCGACAACATCTTCTGATAGGCCTTCTCTGTCGCTCCTTAATTTATCAAGCAGCGGAACGGTACTGGTCGGCGGAGCATATCCATTGAGACTGAATAGCTCGAAAGTCTTTCCACACGCTTCCGGAGAACTTGCTACGTCAACAAGAATCCTCGCGACATCTTTACGATTGATGCGGCCAACAGCAACGTCACCTTGGCTGAACACGGGACGACAACCCGATGGCCAGTCGTCATTTAGTCCACAGGGTCTGACAATACAATAACTCACGCCTGCATCCAACGAAAAATAGATGTCAGCCCACCCCTTTGCGATCGTGATGGCATTCAGCAATTACTCACCTGATTCTCGCAGCTTGATTTCCGAGTCAGCCTTGACATCTAGGACTCCGAACTGAATAGAAGTACACGATGAGTGTCACACAGAGGGATCGCAAACCATTGTGCCCTGCACTTCGTATCTAGACCTACCGGATTGAGCCTAACGATTGGAATATCGGCACACCCCGCGAATCTTGTCTTCTTCTCGTCGCTCCAGCTTGGCCTTGTTACCCCAGCACTGCTCAGCATGATAACCCTAGGAGTTTCTAAATTCAATAGGAGTAGAGCATGAGCGTCAAATGCAGATCACACCCTGTTATGCTCTGAACCATATGCACTAAACCTACCGGAATACTCAGCATTTTTCGAAGCTTTTAACATGGATTTGGCAATTGTTGGGATCCCAATAGAATCTTTGGATGACTTGATGAGAAATGACATAGAGAACTGATTATCGACTTGTCGACTGAAACTTAAAACTTACCGATAGACTTCTTTGGTGCCAAGGCAATTCCAAACAGGCTTTTCAATTTTTGGATAAATCCGGTCTCAGCATCGGAAAATCCAGTGGCACACCAAACAACAGAGTCACAACCTTGTATCGATGTGGCGATATCCTTTTCCGACGATAGATCACACTTTACGACTATGACTTTAGGGTCTTGAAGCGATAGCTCACTCTCTGCTTTTTCAGCATTTCGAACAACGGCCACAACATCAATTCCACGATCGACTAGTTCGCTAACCACAAGTTTCCCAGTCCTCCCAGTTGCTCCACACACCGCTACTTTTCCAAGTAAAGAACTTGGCTGCAATACGTCACCATTGAGAAATAGCTGGCCAGTTCGGATCGCACCACCACTAGCTGCTACTATTGTAAAGCTCAAGGCTGCAACAGGAAAGAGTAATGCAACGATAATTCGACAAAAAGCACACATCTATTCGATCACAACTCCCAGTCAGTCAGTTGTCTTTCAAGGACAAAAATTCAAAGATACAGTAATGAAAATGCGCGGCGTCATGCGCGGCCACCACAAACTCAACTCCAGAATATTTCAATTCATTACAAAGAGCAACGTACAGTATGGAGGGGGCAGACAAAATCGATAATCATAAGCACAAGGAGTCGAAAGAAGGCCGGGGTGCGAAAGAAAAGAAGAAGGATCTAAAAGCCAAAAAGGATGGCTCTCGAAAAGAACGTCATAACCATCGAGCCTTCTCTGTTGCGAACATCGTTAGGACTCAAAGAACAATTCAAAGGAACCTTGATAGATCACAGAAGAAAGAATATGTGCCGCAGAAAGATCGCCGAAGCGCACATCCAAATCAATCACCACCTTCACTGGTGGTGGTCATGGGGCCAAAAGGGGTTGGGAAGTCGACCCTTATACGGTCCCTAGTGAAGATTTACACAAATCAAAATTTGACAACCACTACAGGCCCAGTTACAGTTGTCATCGGAAAAAACAAAAGAATCACATTACTAGAATGCCCTAATCAGCCAGCAAGTATGCTGGACTGTGCAAAGATTGCTGACTTGGTCTTGCTCTGTGTGGATGCAAAGTTTGGTTTCGAGATGGAAACATTCGAGTTTCTAAATATTCTTCAGACACATGGCTTTCCAAAGGTGATGGTGAGTTGATTCTAGACAAAAGCGTATGCAGGCAATATTCTGTTTCGCTTCTAACAACCTCTTCTTTAGGGCGTTTTCACGCATCTAGATCAGTTTCACACGGCAAAGAACCTCCGAAAAACAAAAAAGCTATTGAAACAGAGGTTCTGGACAGAGATCTACGAGGGCGCGAAGATGTTTTATTTCTCTGGTATTGTGAACGGGAAGTATCTAAAGAATGAAGTGAAACAGCTGACGCTGTTTATTTCAAGGGTGAAGGTATGTTGTCTGTCATCTGCCACCTCCTTCCTCTTCCGCCGTGACATAATGATGATAAAGCCTTTGGTGACTTCTGTCTGAAGTTGATGAAGACAAAACAAACGCAAATAACCCTAATTTCCTTCCGAATGTTGCTCTGCTACGTGGGGTCTAATCTGCTTGCACAACGTTTCACTGATTCTCCCTCCTTTCTCTTATCTGATTTTCAGTATAGACCTTTGGTTTGGAGGAACACACATCCATACGTTTTGATCGACAGACACGAAGACATCACCCATCCAAATGTAACCGACAAGGATCCAAAATGCGATCGCAGCATAACATTCTATGGGTATGTCCGAGGGAGTCATTTGAAAGCTGGTATGAAAGTTCATTTGATCGGGGTCGGAGACTTCGACATGTCAATCGTTAGTACTCTATCTGATCCATGTCCAATTCCGGAGCAAGATGACAAAGTAAGTTGTAACATTTGTATATTAATGCTGTTACTCTTTGTCCACCATCTGACTGGTCGAGCCACTATCGTTGAAGACGTTGAAGAAGAAAGATGCATTATTGTTTGCACCTCTCTCAAACGTTGGCGCAGTGTCGTTTGATAAAGACGCTATTTACATTGATATCGGACGTGCCAATTACACGAAGAACACGGAACTCGAGGGGAACAACAAGGAAGTCTCCGATAGAGAAATTGATCCTGAAGAACCTGCTGGTATGTTAAAGGGGCTGCAAGATATCGATAGTGCTGTTGATGAGAAGATGGAAAGTGCAGCACTCCGGCTCTACATGGGTAGCAAAGCTGTTCCGGCAGGTTATGATTATGATTCCGACGCGGAAAGAGACGAATCGTCAGTCTTGCCATCTCCTAGCGCACACGACGATGGCCACCGAGCCGAAATCTATCCTGGGATTAAAGTTCATAAGTCTGATTCTTATAAGGAAGAGTCGACCGATACACCAGAAGAGTCTAATAGTGACGAAGACAGCACTGAAGGAAGCGACGATGGTGTAGAAGATGAAAGCGATGACGAATCCAAATATGATATCGAAGGCGGGGGCGGAGAGATGTCATGGAAACGAGACATCACAAAACATGCTGTTGAATCTTTCCTTGTGAGACAAGCGTCAAAATTGAACCTGAAGGAATACGTATATGGGAGCAATGGTGGAATCCAGGTGACAGACGATCAGGGTGAGGATGATGGAGAGTCATCAGATGATGAAGAATTCTTCAAGTTAAAGGCATCTTCGAGAGAAAAGGAAGGTTCCCATGGCAGTACTAAATTGTCTTTATCTGTGTTGACTGAAAATGATTCTTGCCGTATCATGGGAAACGAGCGGGTTGACTCAGAGGTGGACAGATGGCTGAGTGTGGACAGTTCCTTGATAGAGTCGGTCCGTGATAAGTTCGTCACTGGAAATTGGGGTGCAAAACAAGATGGTGATCTTGGTAGTTTCGAAGATTTGGAAACTGGAGAGCGATATGGTCCAGGAGGTGAAGTGCTCTCTGACAATGGAAATAGTGATTCCGAGGACGAGAGCGTTGGAGATATGAACGACGCCGAGCTTAGAGACTACCATGCCAAGAAGAAAGCTTCTCTAAAAAGGAGGTATGATCAAGACTACGACGAAAAAAAAGTAACAAACGGCAGCGAGACCAAGGATGAAGACGCGGAAAATAAATACCTTGAAGAGTTGAAGAGGCAGAAGGAAGAGCGATCAAAGATGAACGAAAGTGAGTTCGGCGAGGAAGGTGAACGCGCTCGCCTTCGCCACGAAGGTTTCCGACAGGGGCTGTACTGTAGAATTCAGATCGATGGAGTACCTCATTCCTTCGTGAAGAATTTTAATCCAAATCTCCCCCTTGTTATTGGTGGGCTCACTCCGCAGGAAACCAACCTAGGTCTGACCCGATGCCGAATCAAGAAACATAGATGGCATCAGCGCATTTTGAAGTGCAACGATCCTCTTATATTTAGCATCGGTTGGAGACGTTTTCAGAGTATACCCACATATTCGACAGAAGACGAGAATGGAAGACACCGGTACCTGAAGTATACTCCTGAGCACATGCACTGTTTTGCAACTTTCTACGGTCCACAGGCGGCTCCAAATTCTGGAATACTTGCCATTCAACGTCTGTCAGGAAACATTTCAGGATTCCGAATTGCTGCGACTGGTGTTGTTCTTGAGCTCGACGCCTCTTTCCCAGTGGTCAAGAAGCTAAAGCTTGTGGGCACGCCGACAAAAATATACAAGAACACTGCTTTCATAAGCGGCATGTTCAACAGTGATCTTGAAGTCAGTCGTTTTGAAGGAGCAAGCATTCGAACTGTAAGCGGTATCCGAGGTCAGGTCAAAAAGGCAGCACGGGAAGGCCAACCAGGATCATTTCGTGCTACTTTTGAGGATAAGATCTTGCTATCTGATATCGTTTTCTGTCGAACCTGGATGCCGGTGCAAATGAAGGAATATTACAATCCTGTTACAAATCATTTGGAAAGCGGTGACGAAAGCTGGCATGGTATGAAGCCCAAAGCGCAGCTTCAAATTGAGACGAAGATTCCTATAGAGGTCAATCCAGATTCCATCTACAAGCCCATCGATCGTCCTGATGTAAAGTTCAGCAAATTGAATATCCCCAAGAAACTCGAGGAGGCTCTCCCATATGCGAGTAAGCACAAGAATGAGAATAAGCGCAACGGTAAGGGCTACGTGGCGAGGCGCGCAGTAGTAATGGAATCAAGTGAAAAGAAGAAGTACTCGTTCTTGCAGGCTCTCAACAGTATTCGCAACGAGAAGGTGAAAATTCGGAAAGACAAGAAGGAAAACAAGAGAATTGATCAATCAAAAAAGAGCGCAAAGAAAGAAGAAGCACTTCTTGCCATCAGAAAAGCTGCAAAGAAAAGGCAATACCGTGCCGAAGGGAAACGTGAAAAGGCAAAAGAAGCTAAGCGACAGAAAGTTGGCTAATTTGAGACTCCTTTTGGTGTTTACGATCCTCTAACTTAGGATTACTTGATCTGAAGTTCCTACTTCTTTGCTGCAACAAAACGGTCTTCCACAGTTTTCCAATCGATGATGTCCCAGATTGCTTCAACGTATTTGGGCCTTAGGTTCCTATAGTCAACGTAGTATGCATGCTGGGCAAAAAAATCGGATGAGTAAGCGAATTCTGAAATAATTAGAATGAGATAGTCAACCGTACCTCCCATACATCGATTCCAAGCAATGGCTTCAGTCCAGTGGTGGCTTCTAGAGGATCTTGATTTGGAAGCGTTGCGATTTCAACAGAGCCTTGATTGGATGGAAGCGAAATGAGCAAGAAGCCAAAAAAAACCGTTGTTTCAATAAACGTACCAGTATTAGGATTGTATCCTAGCCACCCCCATCCACTTCCCTGCACGGCAATGGCAGAGGCACCAAGAGCCGCTTTCATATTCTCAACGCTACCAAATTGTTCGTTGATGGCGCCTGCAAGAGCACCATTTTCATCGTATGTAGAGTCTGGGGACAAATTCTCCCAGAAAAGAGTATGGTTGATGTGACCCCCTCCATTAAACTTTAGGGCTCCTTGAAGAGCGATCGTGCCCGACACATCTCCTGCAACCATGGCAGAGTCAATCTTCTCGATTGTATTGTTCAAATTAGTCACATATGTATTGTGATGCTTCGAATGATGAATAGTCATGGTTTCTGCAGAAATTACGGGTTCCAAAGCATTGTAGTCGTAAGAAAGATCCGGGAGGACGTGAGGTTTTGCCGCGAGAGACGAAAGAAGGGCTGAGCTATTTTTCAACACTTCGTTTGGTAATTTCGAGGAGCCCACATTTACAGCGGCCTTGAGGCCATTTTCGATGATGATTTTGCCAGACATCTCTTTCTTTCGGTTTGTTCTCAAAAGTGTTTTCTGGTCAGTTCTGATGACTGACTTCGAGTGATCGTACCAGGTACCTGTACCAGTGTACCAGGACGATACAGAGCGTGGGTCAAAAAGTGCTGAGGTTCTACGAGAGACTCTACATGGCAAACCTGGTCTGGCGTCAGGAACGGCCGGGAAATAGAAATTTAGCATACAATTCTTGGGAGTAAATGTTGATTTTCCCGGCCGTCCCAGCCGTTACCAGTCCGCCCCCGAAAAGGGGGCTAGTTTGCGTAGCTTTTACTTGGCGTTCTTGCGTGGAAGCTCTTTTGCTTAGGCCGATTCTACGCGAGTCCGTTTTGCCCCAACCCGTTTTCGGGAAATCCGGCTTCGAAAACGGGTTTTCCGGAAAACGGACGCCGGCACGGACTGTTTCTACCCGAAAAGTCGATTTTTGTAGCCGGAAATTCGTGATGGTCGATCGAGTCATATGCAACTGACACATCCGACTACCAGCAGAGGAAAGAGCCCAAACCAAACAGTACAGTAGAAAAGAGCATGTTGTGATTACAAATACTGCTATTTCAGCCAGCAATTTTGTGATGTTTATCTATAGTAGAGGTGTCTATATTTTCAATTACGATTTTGTTTTGAGACTTCAAATTTTCTGCTTGTTGGGCCCTTTCCGGACTCACAGGGCGACTCATCAGAAGAAATTCATTAGAACAAGTTCATTGGGGCGTGATTGGGACCAAACTTAAACATGAAATACAGATGATAGCGTGGTATACATATCGGTGAGTATCGAATTTCGTTTGGCATTAGGATTACCACCTGAAACGCTCAAAGTGCTCCCATGAAGGAAT